CCATTAAAGGGATAGTTCACCCAAAAATTTAAATTCTGTCATTAATTACTCACCCTCATGTCGTTTCAAACCCGTAAGACCTTCGTTCATCTTCGGAACACAAATTACACTACGAGAATACTTTTTGTGCGCAAAAGAAAAAAAATAGCGACTTTATTCAACAATTCGTCTCCTCCGCATCACCCTGGTGCCATTTTGGAGAATATCCGCTGTACGTAAACGTTCGTATTCTGTTCTGTGTCAGCTGCGTCACGCCGGATCTGTTTCCTACGTTGTTGTGATTTGATCTGAACGGAAACAGCGTATCCGTGTGACGCAGCTGACACAGAATAGCATACTATATATATACTATATACTATACAACGTAGCTTCGTATAATTGCGGATGAACCACTGATGTCACATGGATTATTTTACAGATCTCCTTGCTACGTGGATGGAATTGGGAACATTTCAGTTGTATTGCTGTCTATGCAGGGTCAGACAGCTCTCAGATTCCATCAAAAATATCTGAATTTGTGTTCCGAAGATGAACGAAGATCTTACAGGTTTGAAACGACATGAGGGTGAGTAATTAATGACAGAATTTTCATTTTTGGGTGAACTAAACCTTTAAACACAAACAGTGTTATCAAAAATCAATTGTATGTTTTTCTACATGTGAAAATGCAGGGCAATCACTGGCAGTCAAGTTTAGGTGCAGTTTTGGTTGGTTCATTATAAAAATATACTATATTATAAAATAATTCAACCTGTCCTGGTTCCCATGTATACTATAAGACCACTATCATGAAAAGAAACTAGGTGCATGACACCCCTGAACAGAATCACTACAATACACTTCCAGATTGCCGTAAATGAGTCAGAGATGGATCAGTTTAAATTTGCGGATGGATCAGTCATATGATGAGACAGCAGGAAGGTCAAACACGCACTCAAAATTAGGGCCAAAGGTTTCATGAAAGGGGGCTGGGTGAAATAAGTAGGGGAAATCCTTAAGGCTTCCGATTTCATTTCCCATGCATTTACAAAAAGAGGTTCTCCATTCAAACTAGTAGAGCTCACACTAAAAGGAGGACGTAGACACTTGAGAAAGTCCCTTAGGATGTTTATGTCTTGACCTCACAGTGATTAGCGGTTGCCCCATGACTTCTCTTCTGACTTTCAAACAACAACTTCAGGAGTCTGAGATATTGTAGAGAGTTTAACAAAACATCTACTGCCATCTTCCTGTGAAACTGCATCAATGTTATTGCTGTTTAATTTTGTAAAAGGATATGTTGTACGAACTAATCTATAGGAGTAGTTTTCAAAGGAGATGAGATTGCAAAAAAGTAAATTTTGTGATTATGTCTGCTGTTAGAAGAGTTTTTCTGTCTAATAAAAAAAATAAATGAAGATCAAAGGCTTTTCAAGCCTCTGGTGATCTTTGGCTCCTGAATTTGCTGGTGTTGGGTTTTCTTACATAATAAAAAATTCTTCCCACACTCTAAACAAGCAGTTCATTTATAAACACTGTACAATTACTGGCACCAACTATACCACTGAAACTGGGAGAGAGGCAGATTGGGTAAGGAGGAGGGAGAGAGGTAGACCCAAAATGAGCAAAGTGCTAAAAGAACTGAGCGGTGTGAAGTCAGAACTGCAGGGTACACTTGAAAGAAAGTCTGATGAGACATAAAAAGCCTTGTAAATCTTAGCCTGGTCAGAGAGAGCAACCACAGTTTTATGTTCACATACATTTTAGGACTCATTTTAGCTTTACATCATAATTATTTGTTTAAGAATATTATTTATTTATTTATTTATAATTGGCTTAAAGTCTGTTAACTACTAGCCTATAAGCTATAACTTCCTAGAGGGCTTTGAACATAATTTTTATTTATTATTAAGATGTTATTAAGTTATACGTAATATATATATATACACTACAGGTCAAAAGTTTGGGATCAGAACGATCTTTTATGTTTTTTACAGGAGTTTCTTATGCTCATCAAGGCTGCATTTATTTGATCAAAAATACAGGAAAATTTAAATATTGTGAAATATTATTATGATGTAATATATCATTTTTCTAT